GGAGAACGCAGGGTCAACCATTAGAGCGAGCGTGCAAAGCAGGAAGCGGAGGGAGTACGTCTTGACTTGTAAGGTTCAAGAGGACACAGTCATTCATGGAGGGGAAAAAGAGCAGCCGCCTCCAAAGGTTACAATAAGAAAGAGGAGCGGAAAACCTTTCTGATGTAAATCCAGAATAAATAAAGAAGGGATTCATTTTCTGACATGTTGCACATTTTAATCTGCGACACGCTTTAAAAAAGAAGTGAGAAGGTCCATCCTTGAAAAGCTAATGTCAAAATAAATATGTTTTTGAGTTCTGGAGTAGAAAATAAAACTTATGTTTTGACACGGGCACTGCACTCAGTTTCTTAAATTTCTGAGCAATGAAGACATTACGCAAAAATAACAAGCAGCATGTAAAATCCTTAAGGATATATGTTATTTTTAAAGTGAGCTTATGCACAACTGTACAAATGCTTCACCTGCAAATGTGTTCCTGTAGCAGTCAGTTAGGATTCTTGATGCCAAGCATACCAATTTTTCAGTGGTCGAAGCCACAGGTGATCAATCTTAGATATTTTTGAACCAGTTTGAACTCTATTATAGATGTTTACATTAAATACTTTTGCATCAGGTGCTTACAGACTTTCATTTCTTTTCCAAATCTAAGGAAGGATTAAAAAATAAAATATTTAGACGTGATTTCTTCTTTTTTTCCCCACCTAGAATCCAACCTGTTGCTCAAATTATTAATTTTGATGTTGATGTAGCCCCCTGATGTTCCAAAGGATGCAGTAGAGGCACAAACAAACACTATTTTGTCCATGATTTATACTACAACTTCCTGGACTACAAAAAGAGGGGATGTCCAGTGTCCAGCAGGCAATATACATTTGATTTATTAATACTGGGCTGTTGTATGGCAGTAAACTACATTCCTTTTGAGGACCTTTGGTTCTCGTTAGGGAACGGGAGGAAGGTATGAGCTTGTGTTGTGCCTACTGAGGTGTGTTATTAGTCCTTGGAGGAGGATGGCAAAAATATGGCTGCTCTGCTTCCTGATCTTTGTATTTCTCCTTCCAACCACCTTATACATTTCACACGGCTCTTATATTCCCTCCTTCTGCTACACTCTCCTGTTCCCAACATATAATCATGAACGTCTTTTGTGATCAGGCAGCGTGTCAACCTGGGCTCAGATTTGTTAATGATCACCGGCTGCAATTATCAGGAGCTGCGGCGATGGCGCCATCTTCATTGATTACTGGTGACAGTTAAGAAGCACGGCATAATTCCCATTGATCATCTGTGACGGAGTGAAAAAAAATGGCGTCATCTCCATCGATTTGCAATAAAAGCATGTGACAAAAGTGTGTCACTTGCTCAGAGGAGAAGGGCCTTTTGTACACAGTTCTATTCATCATGTAAATGTGTGTGGTGCAAATGAAAAATTTCACACGAAGGAGAGTAAAAACAAGACGGACGCAGATGGGAAAAGTCTTATTTCATTGAAAAGCAAATTATGTTTGCCACAGATGTTCAATCAAAGCGGTGCAGGCGAGTCAGATAAATCATTCTTACAATAATCTTAAATTAAATTGAAAAATTTTCCTCTGAGCTCATTTGTAGATCACCAAAAGGTTTGCCGAATATAAACACAAACTGATGCAGTCCCTTGGAAAATCATAAATATCCCCTGAACTTTTACGTGTTTTGCCACATAAGAACCACAAATCATAGTTTATTGTATAGGGTGGTATAGTACATGAATTTATTTGTGTTAACGTGTTGTCAACAGTTCAGCACGGCTGCTGCCGAAAGAAAGTTTTCCATCAACAACTTCTCGACGCAGCTTTACTTTTGTACAAAAACAAAAAAAGTGAACCTTTTGACTTGTTTTGAACAATTGAGGTTAGCTTTAAATGGTAAAATCAAAGACTTTTTTGTCCTGTCCACTTAATTAGATTGCATTTTATTTCTCATTAACTTGTTGTTTCTCTCTCCTTTGTTGACTTTTTATAAAAATTCGGTCAAACATGGTTCCTTCGTCTTCCTCCGTCTTAATTCCAGTTTATGATTTAAATACTCCTGGTTCTTTTCTTCCTGCTACCTTGATGAGACATAAGAACTCCCAGAAATAGATGGATGAGTTGGAGATAACCAAACCAGCCAGACTTCACTGTGAATTATAATCGCCTCCAATCTGTGTCTCTGAAACTCTGCCCAGTTTTTATCACCATCCGTGTGTGTGTGTGTGTGTGTGTGTGTGTTCGAGGAAACTGAGCCCTTCAAGTCACGTGTGCTGTATCTTTTTATGAACTCATGAATGTGAGCGATGAGGTCCTCTCCCTTAGGGGATCAGTATATGAGCATACGTCCAGCTGCTACTTATTATTCTCCTGGCCCCTACAGGGTCTGACCCGTCTCTCTTTTCTGTCAAAGTTTCATGTGTGTTGGAATATAATTTTGTTTACCGTGTTGCTCTCACAGACGCACACACATACACAAGCTATTAGACAACAGCCATCAGGGTGAGCAGCCCATCACTCACCCTCACATAAGGTATTCAGCTGCATTATATCAATGTCACATTGTCATTGACCAAATGTGTGGCTGAGTGTATGTGTCTATAAAAGTGTAGTGGAGCCAGCAGCAGCCTCCAAGGCAACAGAGAGAAAATACACCCTGAAAAGCTCATGTGGAATAAAAACGAGGAGATCAAAAATCTGTACATTTGCTCACCAGAAAGGTTTTTGTCTGTGCAAACTTGCTCTGAAGCAAAAAAATCAGATTTTGTTTTGGAATAGGCTTAAAAATTTCTAATCCAAATTTTGTTTTGTTTGTACGTTTCTTTTCCTCAAAACAATAGAGGTCAAGAAAATATTCAATCTTAGCAATTGAAGCTTTTGAAGAGGTCTTTAAAAGCCTTTGTTGAAATGTGTTGAACAGGTTTATAGCATGCAAACGACAGTCAAAGAATCTGAAGGTTTACTGCATAATGACAAATTATAGCTATGCAATCAAGTTCTCATGCCTAAACATGTTAACATGTTGTATTGCAGAAATTTTACACTTCAATGGAGGCAGGAGTTTTACAGAAAGTTATTTGGATGTAAATAAATCCTGTGGATTAAAGGAACCAATGCAATCAGTGGTGGTTTGGGAGCAGGCTGACCCCACTCAACAATGCTGATACAAAGTCTCTTAATGTTATTTGGATACCAACATTAAAACTTAGACTGAATCTAAAACACAGAAATGATTTCATAACTTTTTCAAAAACTAAATGAGCATACATCAAATTCAAAATAATTACAAATAAAGGTCTGCTTGTCTGCTCTCTGTGTGTCTTCAGCAGGATTAATACAGCCCTATATTAAGGCTGATAAGATTCTTGAAATAACAGGTTTCTGTGGTTGAGTATATGCAATTTATTTGACATAAATCAGGAAAAATTCAAAACAAAAAGGGGACTGCATAAGTGAGCTGTGTATTCTCTACAATGAAGCAGCAGCGCCCTCTCTTGTTGAAAATTGGGACAACAAAAAAAAAAAAAAGAAAAGAAAAAAGAAGGAATTTTGCTGAGAAAACCCAAAACTTTGAACTATTAGCACTACTGTTAAAACAAACTCGCAGGAAGAAGAAACTGGGATTTATGAATATCTTTATTGCTTGAACAAAACTTATAAATAAATGTCATGTGAAGTTAAAAGAAAGCCCATCATGACACTGTTTGTGTTCTTGTCACTGAAAAGTATTCCTATTGAAGTTTTTATTGTGATTGATGTAATTCGGCATATGTTCTAGCTATGATATGGGACATACATAATACCTAATAAAACACCGCTATCAGAACAACCTACTGAACAAAACCAATATTAAAAGTTCAATTTGTCTGAACCAGATTCAATTGCAGTTTTGTTCATTAAACAAAAGCATGAATAAGGTCATCAGCTCTGACTGAAAACCTGCAGACACTCCCACTTAAACCTAAAACAGCCTAAAACACAGCAGGCTCATAATCCTACACATCTCAACTAAACATCTAAACTAAATTCTTTCTTTTTTTTACCTGGTTTAAGTGTGCAACATCCCACACAGAGTATTTTCTCATGTAGAATCTCTCACTACTCTGCCTGAAGGGAAAACATGCATTTCATTTTGACAAGTCTGCTGGCCTGTGCTGTGTTATGCTATCACGCCTACATTTATCCTCCTTATGGATGCTTCTGTAATACGAAAACCCTCAGACACTGTCCCGGTTTGTAAATAGGGATTTTTTATTTTTTTTTTTCTAAAATTGTGTGGTTGAGTGTAGTACACAGGAGGAGTTTAACAGCAAACACAGCCATGCCTCTTCAATCAAAATGCCTGAAGTCCTTTTAGTTGTGCTGCCTGAGGAAACAAAAGGGATCAAAATGCTGTGCAGTCCTCGGCGGAGCCGCTCAAGCAGGCGGCGCCGTCACGACACACTGTGGCCACGCCACACTATGGTGGTCAAACTTTCCTTTTCTGCTCCCAAGCTAAAATAGTTTAGCATAACTTTTCTTGGCTTTAGTAATCGTCATCTTCACCTCCTTAACCTCTTCTCCAAATGCTAAATGTTAATGTTGTCCAAACAGACCATCTTAAAGCTTTTATCAACGCTTAAAAAGTAGCCAAATTAGAAGATGCGGAGACTCCATGGATTTGTCAATATGCTTAAAACATGAAAAAAACCCACCTAATTTTACTTCAGTGCTCCTTAATCTCTTGCAGGTTGCTCTTAAACTATCATGCTTTGAAAGCATTTTTGAGAAAATAGGTTTTACACTAAAAATAGTGTGGCAGGCAACAATAACAATCCCAGCAACCTGCGTCTCTGCCCCTCCATTCTGTGTCATCAGGAGTTGCTGAATAAAGGTGCCATTCATTCCTGAACCGTCCAATGCTCTGGTGTGTTTGTGTGTTGTTGTTGTTGTCCCCTGTTCCTGTTCACGTGGATAATGTAATTGGCAGACAGCTCTCGTTCAGGCCGGGTTAGGCCCTTTTCTCAGGCCAGGGTAGAAGGAGGAATGCAATGAGTGTGGAGGACGTGGCCTGGATTTTTTTGCTCCGGGCTATTTGAAAATGTGGACTTTGCCATTTGGAAATATTTAGATTCAAAGAGTCTGGAAGAACTCTGCGACCAAAACCCTGATTGTTTTTTAAGGGATAAACGGCTGTTGTTTGTCTGCTGAAAGCTTTTGAAGAGTAGGAATGGGTGCTAATTTTACCCTCTGCTGCTGCCACTACTATCTGGTGCAGAACAGAGAGGAGAAGAAGGCTATCCTGCGGTAAGAGAAGCTGACAAATATAACTGCACGAATGTTCAGTTTACAGTCGAAATCACTTTCTTCCATTTTTCCTACAGCATGAGGACCACTTCAGGGCGCAGATCGCCTCAGCAGATATCCAGTGATTCCAGTGACAGCGAGACAGAGGAGGAAAGCCTCTTCGGACCGCAGTGTTTGGAGAAAAACCCAAAGGACAAACAGCAGAGTCAAAGATTAACAGTGGATCCGTGGGTTTATTCCAACAGAGCAGACGGGTCTCTGATCAGATGTGGATCAGACAGAGAGCTGCAGGCCTTCATCAGCATGAGAGACCAGGCTGATAAGGCGACAGAGGTAATGGACTGCATGTGGCACACATTGGCACAACATATCCATATTTAAAGAAAGAGAGAAGCAAACGGAGATTAAGTTAGTTGATGTGAGAATGTAGAGAATAGAAATAAATGTAGACAAATGATGTCGGTGTGACAAACTGAAAGAGACGGAGCACAGAGTTTTATTATAAAATAAAACTCTGTTTTTTCTTATTTTAACCTGTCAGAAACGGTGTTCTCTCTCGATTAACATAATATGATCATTTGGAAATGTTTAACCAGTGAACCCTTGTTGAACGTTGAATAAAATGAACATCCATTTAGGATCAAACTTTGATAAACATTAAATTTGCTTTTGTAATTATCTAAATATTCAATATAACATTGAATGTTTTCTCTGGTAATTTTATATTCAAAGCAGAAAAAATAAGGACTTTATCCTTACATTTGTGGAGTGCACAAGTAATCAACAAATTTTCCCACCTGAGGTTTAGATATTTGGATCTCTTTTAGAAAAACACATTCCCTACAATACAATACAACACAATGACATTAGTGTTTATCAATTTGTATCATAACATTTTTGGAAAAGCTGTCAGGGGTGGGAATACTTTTGCGAGATTCTGTAAATATGTGAAATCCACCGAACAGAAAAGGGACAGGCTCAAATGAAGAGCTTTCTTAGATGCTCATGAGGAAATCCATATTTAGTCTGTTGTCAGGAATTCTCTCTCTCTGTCTAATGAAATAACTCAATAAGATCAGAGAGTGCTGCACAGGTGACTCTCAAAGAGGTCTTTGATTCTCCATCACGCTGACTTAGATTAGTAAATGACTTTGACTAGATTCTATGATAATTTAATATCAGAATCATCTAATTTACAAAGAAGTAAGAGGGTTGCAAATGCTCTGTGTTAAAAACATGAAGGCATGTTTTAAACGTCAGATTTAAAACATGCCTTCATTTTGAATTTGTTTCTGACATAAGTGCTAACGGGTGAAAGACAATTTATGATTTGGTTCTGAGTGAGATGATTCTGCAGCTGTTGCAGTATTGATAGATGAACCAAGTCTGTACGTCTGGTGACAAGGACATACCAAGCTTTATTTATAAAAAATATACATGTAATTACTAAATTCAATCTAATGTGAGACTGTTTTGATTCAACACTCTCTAATCTAGTCAAATGTGTTCGCACATTTTGTATTTGTATTTTTCAATTCAATTCCAGTTTATTTCATCAGGGATAACATTTTAAACAATGTTACATACTGAAAACAAAGCAACAGTTGCTTTGTAGGTTTGTTAGCCACAGGCAAATGTGCAAACTCAGTCAGTTTTTTGGATATGAAACGATCCTTATGATTGTAATCCAGTAGCTAAAAACATGCAGTTATTGTCAATAAACTGGAATATTAATGAAGTGCTTACTTTAGTAACTCTGTTCACCAACTGAAACAGATTCTATAAATAATTTCTACACTGACTGATGCTTTTATGTCTTTTTATGTTGTTATATATTTGTGAGAACAAAAATGAGTTTTAAGCATCATTGCTGAGCTTCTCTTTGTCACCCTGAAGGTGAAACTTACTGTTAAAACTGTTGTTTCCTCATAAAGCTGGGACTGAGGCTAATTCTCCGCTGAGCAGCTCACATTTTTCAGTCCATCTGTGTGACGGTGTTCAACATGTGATTGTGTTTGTGTTGAGAACAACAGGCTGCAGGACACACTGGGCACATTGTGATGATAAAACAATTCCTTAATGGAGAAGTGGGGCAGTTTGGTCAAAGAAAAAAATTACAAAAGCATCACGAGACTATTGTGAGACCATTTTACCATAAGGCCAGACTCGAAAAATCCTCAGCAACTGCAAAAGACAACCACTGTTTTAAATCTATCATTAAAGTCTCCACTCAGGAAAATGTAAAAACCATTATCATGATTTAATTTCCAGAAATAAAATGAGGGAACCAAATTGGGATACTGGAACTCCATTCATGTGACCATGTGATGGAGCCATAGAAACAGACATGTTATTAAACGCACAAGACTCTGAAACTGAAACCACTCACTGGGATTTACTGTGAATATTTTCTCTATTTTCTCACAATTTTGAAACAAAATGTCATGTTCCACAGAGGACTGTCGGACTGGTTCGTACCTTTATTTGCTTCTCCTGTCACTGTGCGGCCAAAAATGAGAAACGGACAAAAAAGCAAATCATAAACATGATTTCATATATGCTTCTTGTTTGTGTCCAGGAATGGGAGAAGCTGAATTATGACATCCACACACTGCGCTACGCCAGGCGAGAAGTCAGATCTCGATGGAAGAAAATCCTGCTACAGCTGGGTGAGACACAATGCACCTCTAAACTAGAATAATACGGGAATAAGCACTGAACACAATTCATGAAATACTTTAGCTACATCTCCCCTATGGAAGAAATAATCACATACATTGCTCAGTGTGATGTTGATCCATTCTCCCACAAAAGTGTTTAAGTTTCATTGTGGATTTCTTTAAAGCGAAAGCAGAGAAATCTTTTTCTTTTTCCACCAGTTCCTTTGAATAAGTGAATGTGGCCTCTCCCGGCATCTCTGCAGGTTATCAGTGTGAGGTGGACTCCCTGCTGTGTGTGAACACACAGAGCCATTTCAGGCCAGATCAAGAACATTTTGGCAAAGCTGCTGACCTTTTGAAGCAGCTGCTGGATCACACCTCTCTGTTCCCTCCTAAAACAGAACATCATAACAGATACCTGTATGTCATGGTACGGACAGTTCATTTGTCTGCTTTCCTTTACTATAGTCATACAGCTTATAAAGCAAGCTTTTTTGTCATGTTATACCAACTCTGGCTGACTTTAAATCAACTTCAGCTGTATTCTTGTTCTAAGTGAGCCTTTTTTCTTCAAAGCATGCATCGTAAATCTTATAAAGAAACAGCAATTTGATCAATTTTCTATTGTTTCCTGAAGTTTCATGGTCACTATTGTTTCCCTCTATACATCAGATCCAATCACCTTTGAAGGCTATTCTCAAAGTCAATACATAAACAAGTTAGGTATTAGGGAGTGATGTTTTGTTTTTATTTGAATCAGCTGTTGTGGACTGTTTGTGGTGATTTTTTTTCATTTTCCTTTGTGTTTCGTTTAGGACCGCCTGGTGTCACTGGACAGTGCAGAGGACTTTATTAAATTGGCCAAACAAAAATATCCCAAGAAAGAAGGCTGAGAGGAAAAACAAGCAGGAACAAGGAGAAAAGTTGAAAAAGCATTTCAACTACGTCTGCACTGTTAAAAGACTGAAGTACAGGGTTGAGCAAACACTTTAAAATGTTTAATTTTTACTGCATGCTGCTTCTGAAGAGTCAGATATTTTACAATCTTTTAAGACAGACTGAAACATCTTCCCTATGCCTTTCAGACCTTAGATGATTTCCTCCATCTTATTCTTGTGAATAAAAATAATCCAATGCTACAGTGTTGCTCTGCAGCCCCGAAACAAGACTTTTTTCTGGATTTTATTCAAGGATACAATACAATATAAAATCCTAATAAAATACATAGCATTTTTAAATTCAGAAGCTTTAGCACTGTTTTCAACATATAGTATTTCTCATGACAAATTTAAAAGGTCACACAAAAGTTTTCGGGGAAAAAAGTGGCATAGTCAGGAGTGATTCACTGTTTTTGTTTCATATAGTTGAGGTTATCAGTAAAAACAAAATTTCTTTTTGCCACTTTGAAAGAATCAGTATCGTCTCTTTGCTTCATTATGAGAACAATAATATATAGCATTTTTTGATTTTGTCTTTGTTTCTCAGCATAATACTATCTGAGCAAGTGCAGATTTTTTTTGATTTACATAAACAGAGCTTAACAGTGAAAAAATTGAGGTTTTTTGCCATTTGTAAAACATTCTTTTCAGTTTTTCAGACATTTTTTTAAATGTACACTCTTTAAATATTTACATTGCATAAAATCAATTTGTACAATGTATCAACTGCTGATTTGTGTCAGTAGGGGGCAGCATATGTTTACATCTCAGTGGGCTTGGCTGTTTAGTTGACTACTAGGACAATTAATGTAGTTTTCATTCAGAAATCAAACAAAAAAAGAAAATAAATTACAATTTGAGTCTACATTTCAGACTGAAAAGTGTAAATAACAACAAAGTAAAGAGAAAATATTTTCAACCCCAGATAATTTAACTTCCCTTTTGTAAATTACTGATGTGAGATAGATGCAAAATGTCTCATTGTGGCTTATAACCACAATAAGAAATTATCCAAAATTTTCTTAAAGATCTGCACATTTTTTCCCAGATAACTAATGGCAGAAATATACCATCACCAGCTTCACATGATCTCAGCCAGAGATCGTACAATACATGCTTGTCATGTGTGATGCACACATTCATGCTTGCTTGCACACATGTGCACCCAGAAAGAGAAAGTTTCGTCTGACCCAGATATTGTTCTCTCCAAGGCCCCTTCCCAAGTTTGGGAAACAGATGTGGAACTAAGTGAGGGGAAATGGAGGGGCTGGGGGAAGGGAGCCGGACGGGATGGAGGCACTGAAAGACATCGAACTGGATACACCTTTTTCTCATTAAACCTAAGAGAGTGCGTGTACACGTCTGTGTGTAATGCTTACATCATCCTTCAGACTTAATCTCATTCTCCTTACCCCCCCCCCACCCCCCAACATCCCCCACAGTCCTCTAACTAAAGGAGTTTATCTTTTTTTTTTTTCCTTTGGACCTAAATATTGTCCAAATGATTAGAAGTCATTGCTGACAAACTGGCTGATTGATTTGTATAATGTTTAAAAGAGAACATAGAGACTATTGCAAGTTATTGGTACTGTCCAAAAGTCTGGAGTCATCCCTTCCCCTTTCTTCCTTTGCTTCCACCAAGCCTGATTTTTCAGTAATATTTCAAAGTGATTTTGATCACTTCTAGATTAAATCTTTTCTCGTTTTCTGTCCAGTTTATTGATTGAGGGAGAGGTGTTTTTCTTGTAAAATTATTAGTTAAAAAGACATGCCAAAAATCAGACACAGACAAACTTAAAATACAAAAAAATGTCTGGGAAAATACCTAAAATAAAAAAAAATAATTTCAACTGCAATTAATTGTGGTTTATTTAAGTATATCGTTTCTAAATCTGTTCCTGCTTACAGTCACAAAGTCAAATGATAAGTTTGAAAAAGCAGACTTGGTTCTGAGTGCGTGCTTTTTCTCAGTAAAACCTAATTTTGAGGAAAAGAAATAAGCACAGCCAAGACGCACAATATTATGGCTTTATATATAAGTCATTGTCCAGAGTTTTTAGTAACACTGATTAATTATTTATACTGATAAATGTCAAAGCCTATGTAATGACACACTTTGTGGTTTGTCTTCAGGCATTTTTGTAACTACTTTGAGAGCAAATAATTATTATATTTGTATTTTTATGCACATTGCAGCACATATAACACCTACTGGCAAAGATGTGTAAGAGGTTTTACACTTAATATCTCTGAAAAAAAAAGTTAAACCCAATTCAACCTTTAATTTGAGTACTGTGGTCAATTCAGTGTCCTTTGCCATACCTGGTTTAACTGCATATGTCAGCAGCAGCTTGTTGATGACTTATGGTGATAATTCAACAGTTTGGATTGGGTCAGTTAAAGCAGGAACCATCTATAGAGTCCTGGGTCCTCCATTATGAACCCTTTCATTTGCTCAACCTGCAAGTTTTCCAAAGCATTCAGGTCTGTTGGGTCGCATAGATTTTACTTTTAGAGAGATGCAGCAAACTACTTTAAAGATTGTCTTACTTTTTGGTCGTTTTTCCAGGGCTTCCTTTGTGTTTGCTTTTTTACATTTTTGTAGATCCCTTTGTGCTTTGTTTAGTTACTTCACTGTGTATTTATTTGGTGTCGTTTCAAAGCCCTTCTAAGATGACTGTTGCTCCCTCGTTTACCCTGTAGCCACAATCTGCCAGCAATGACTCATCGGTTTTGAAATCCAGTAATCACCTCTCCAGCATTTAAACCTTTATGTCCAGTCATACCCTTTTCAGATCCAGTGGTTTTCAATGTCTGTTGCCATTCTCCTATCGTACAGGGTGTTTTCATGTGTTCACTGGAAGTTTATGATTTAATTAATATCAACTTTGACGTGATCCAACCACCTCCTGTCTGTGCTTTCAACTTCCACCACCATCAATCTTATTGTAGTGGCTGACATAGCCAAGGGAAAACGTTAATTTCATGTCTGATGAACATTTTTCCATTTAAATTGACAAATAATATCCTGAGTCCAGAAGGTCCAAACCTCGACTCCACTGTGAATCTTTGAAGAGGTGCTGCGGGAGAATTTGTGCATCAGTTTTTCTCTCCCATCGTCGCTACAAGATATTGGCAATAAAAAGCGAATCAAAGCTAAAGCCAGTCAAATGAACTGTTGCACGATCTTCTGTGTCATTTCATAGTTATACTCAGAGAAAACACAAAGTTTATCAACCTAAAAAGTAAACTATTTTTAAAAATGCATTATTTACAGTTGAGAAAATGCTATTTTTATAATCTACAAATTGGGTCCAATGATGGCTACAAAGAATGTTGTCTTAGCATCTCGCATTTCAGCTGTATTCAGACAGTAATTAAGGTGTCATCGGTTTTACAACAGGATATAAATACAGATTCAGTGTCCGTTTATTTGTGTACTTTTTCCTTCTTTCCCCATTTTTAACTATCAAACCCCTTGTTTTCAGAAAAGTCCAGAAAAGCAAAGTTACCCATTGTGGTTTGGTTTATCAGTCTCTGACAGTTTAAAAGCAAGAGGTTCAAAGATTTAATTTCACTATAATGGAGGCTTATGAAACCGGTGCTGCCATGGCTTAAATGAATTTCCAACCTTTAGCTCAAAAGGCAGCCCTACAGGTTTTACTCGTTAACTCTGATCCTTAATGGGCCAGACATCATGTTTTTCCAGATGCCTCACTCTTAACTCTCAAATCTTCCACTGTTTATTTCCCCGGGTGTTTTCTGATAAGACACTGCTACGCCCATGCACACAGACAGTAACAGACATATAGATAAGTTCATGTGCACAGACAGCAATTTATAACGGATGTTTAGAGAAGCGAATAAATAAACCAAACAGTGATGCGCTGACCTCTTTGACTTCGGATGGATGGCCAGAAATCAGAGGTCTGCTCAGAAAAAGCAACACTAAGCTTCCTTTTGCAAGTCCAAACCCTGCTTTTGATACCCATAGAAGTAGCAAATTTTTTATTACAAATCATTTTTTTACAATGGTAGCTACTTTGCTAGCCTTCCTCTACCCAAAGACTTAACGGATGCTATTAAGTGGATTTTTTTGGCTCTGAAATATTGCTTGGACATTAAGGAACAGCAATAAATTATTTCATTTTAGTAATAAAAAGCAAGCTGCTTTGCATATTACTGCTATTCTCAGTTTCTTAGGTCACCCAGAAGATAATAATCAGGAAACACAGAGACACACACACACACACACACACACACACGTACACAAAGACATGCTGGCTAAGCAGATCTGCAGGCAGGGCAGGGTGTGTGCAGCATGCTTGTGGTCATCAGTGGTGGAAGAGTAATTACACGAGTCCACCAATGCTCTTGAAATATCTTGATTTATTTCCCTCAAATTGAACACAATTAAACGAGATAATAGAGTTAAATTTAATTATTATTCATTTAACTGCATTTGTTCCACCAGATTGTTTGGTGCATCTTCGCCTTCCTTCAGTAGGAATGCTGTACAGGACCAGTGATCTAGGTTTAAATCTAACTTTAAAGACATTTGACTCATGAGCTGTGTAGGTTACTGGGATCCGTCCAGATGCATCTGTGGATGCGTGTTCTGCACATGCTGTTTGTGTGCACATGTCGCAGCATTCACTGATGTGGTTTGGGATGTTTGAGTGATCTCACACAGCTGTAATGGCCTTGGCTTACCCCAAACTGCCAAACAGACTCTTTGACATGTGTGGACGTGTTTGTCCTCTGATTAGTGATGAGAAAGAGATTCCTTCCTTTATGCATCCAAAATTACTAATGTCTGCCTGCTGGGCAGATTTGTCCAACCCTAAATGCTTGACTGGAACTCGATCTGCTTTGTCCCTGCAGTAAAACATGAGTTTACGGTGTGCAGCATTTTTTTTCTAAGCAGAAAACAAATGAAAATGGACTAAAGCAAGAAAAGTAGAAAAAAAAATGTGAAGGTTAAAATAGAATAACTATTTCAAAAAACATTTTTTTTTACATTGTAAGCATCTCTAGGCTGGAGTCTCTTAAACACTTATTGCTACCATTAAAATTAATGTTCCACAAAAGCCGTTGTGAAGTTTATCCTCTGTGGATACTACAGCACTGGACTCGTTTTACTTAAGACCAACAGAAATGAAAGTCTTCAAATCTCCAGTTATTTAGTGTAATTGGACTATGATTAAAATAAACTTGTGAAAAACTTCTGAAAGTCTAAGAGTAACGATTCCTGTTGTCGTCTGCAACTTTGTTTTCTTTTCAGGACATAAGAAGACGGTGATTCATTCACCTGGCAGCGTTATCTATCAACACTCATCACTATGTAGCCTGCAGTCACAAAAATAAAACAGCCTCAGACCAAAAGACACTCACTGATTTAATCACATGAATCAGAGTCTGGATCGCCATTCGTAATATATAAGCTGCATCCAGGTGAAATTTAGATGAAGGCATTCTGCTTTCCACAATTATCTCGACTGACATCATGTAATAAAGGCATAGATGAGAGTTGATTTTCCTTTGCACAGAGGCACTGGCAGGAGCCTGCAGGCATGGGTATACGCATACAGCATAAGTATATGCTGTTCATACCTTAAAATAGTCCAGCTCTGTGTTTAATGCATCAAATCCAAATATATTTATATGTGTGTGTTTGACAAGAAATAAATGTGCTGCAGCTGTGATGGTGGACAGAAACAGATCTGCAATACTAATTTTCTAATTCTGATTTTATGATTCCAGTTTTTAGCAGCCCTGGTTAGAACAGTGACTTCATAGTCTGGCCATTATATGACTTAGTTTTCAACTCAGTACTTTGTGAAATATTGATGCAGTTCATCAG